CGGCGTTTCCCAACCGCTGCTCGCACGGGCCCAGGACGGCGGTTCCCGGCCTCTTCCCAACCGCCTCGTCCTTGGGATCAGCGCCGCGCTGCGCCGCCCGAACCGAACCGAACCGCCCCCGCTCGCCATGGCCGAGGTACAGTACTGACCCTTGCTTGCAGTTTACATATTTATATATATGTGTATATACGTGTGTATGTTCTCATCCAAACGTTGTCATGAGGCCTCGGCCACGCTGATGCCCCGGGGCAGGAGGGCAGCAGCCTCCCCCCACGCCTGGGCCGTCTCTTTGGAGTAGAGAATTTGTTTGTTTAGTATTTACATCTTTTTTTTTTTTTTTTTTTAATCATTTCTCTCTAAAACTGCAAATACAGCAATGGGGGAAATGGGATATTCTCTATATGGTTCAGTGTATTCTTCCTCGTATCTTTTTTGCAGATTATTCTGAAAAGCCTCGAAAGGCCACCTGTAGCAAGTGCAGCTTGTTATGGTGGTATTTTATTTCGGGGACATTTGCTATCTCTCCCATGACGGGAGACGTGAGCTGATGTTCCGCGCTCAGGTTCCCGTCTGTTGTTCCCGCAGCAGGAGAAAGCGGAATGGGAGAACTTGAACAGGCTGTTAGTGCATCATGGGTTGAAACCTGTGAGCTTTGCTGCCGCGGCAAGCAGCAGACACGCGTCAGGTAAGGGCATACTGGTTTTACAAGCTTCTGTATTTAAAAACGTAGACCCAAGTTCATAAACCATCCTTAAAGCTGTTATTTCCAAATGCAAGCAGAGACGCATCTTCTCCAGTTGCCAAAATCTTCCGTTATGACTTTGTTTATTCTAAATATCTCCAGATGCAATCGTCTTAGACAATCAATCTTCTCAGGGGATAAGACTTGCCTTAAAAACGCTGGTGGAAGACACGGAGCGGCAACAGAAAATGATGCATGGGCTTATGGAGACGAATCGCCAGCTTAGGTGAGACCCGGCGGGCCAGACTCGGTGCTCACGCAAACCAAAGAGTGGCTGGTGTCCCCTCTTTCTCCCTATTTGAGCTCGTGTCACGTGTGAGACTCGAGCCCTTTTGTGGGATTTTTGTGAAATGTGGCAATATTGGCCTGGTTCCTCTCGGGCTGTTCTGTCATTTCATCTGCTGCTTCTTCACGTAGTAAAATATCTCCCATACCTGCTGCCATGGGTTGCTACTGAGTGTTAACAAATATAGTCTGTCAGGCTTGTGTCCCCTTCACTGTATTTGTGCAACTAATTTGTTCTAAGCCAAGGTTTGAATTTTGTTTTGATCAGAGATGAGGTACGCCAGGAGCGAGGTCGGGCATCTCGGCAAGAACAACGGGCTAACGATTTGGAAAACGTGGTGAAGAACATTAAGTCCAAGATTTGTCAGCTGGAAGATGAGACGATAGCCAGGGTTTGCCAGCAGCAGAATCAAGTCAAAGAACTTCAAAAAGACCAACAAATTTCACAGGTAATTCAGGTAATCCCATTTGAGAACTCAAAACTTTTGATTTTTAATTAAAGGCTCCAAAAATAGTGATACTGGTCAAAATAAATGCAAGTTTGTTCGCTTCTTCTTCTTTTTTTTTTCCCTAGTTCTTATCTAAGATAAAAAAAAAATACACACATCCTGCTTCTAATGGCTCCTCAGTATGGCTAGAAAACAGCTACAGAGCTTCTTTGCGAGCAGGTGCCTGCTAGGGCATGTACAGCAGTGTCTGCAGTATATTAGATGAATTTCAGGATGCTCCCATTGTCTGTTCACAGGTGAAGTACCAACAGCAACAGGAAAAGCTGCGAGAACAGGAGGAGACTATTGCCCATCTGCAGAGGGAGCTGCACAAGGCTGGGGTGGAGGAGCAGCAACGTGTCGCTGCTCAAAACAAAATGTTCTGCCAGTTCTGCAAAAGAGCACCCAAGTCTCTTCTGGATCAGCAGTATGCAATTTTCTTCCACTGTTACACTGATGAATGGCCTCTAACATTAACGGAGGAAACACATTTTAGAATAACTGGTATCGATATTTTGATTTTTTTAAAAAAGTGGAGTGTCAGCTGCAATGTGAATCCTTATAGGGTTCATTAGTTCAGTAAACTTTTCTTGTGTATTGGAAGTGAGCTACTTTAAATTGTTGTAGAAAAGGAAAAAATACAGCCACTGTACACTAGATGTCAGCAAAGAAAAGGGAATGTTTAGTCTGGAACTGTAGCACCCGCTAGGGTGATTGCATTCCAGGATTTTTTATTATTTTTAAATGTAAATCTTCAAACAAAAATCCTTTAATTTCAGTAAGTAGCTAACTGGAGGCTCACTGTAAAGCTTCGTAGTAATCTCCATGGATTTTTTGAGTCCTCTGCTCTGTCCCTTTTATGATAAGGTCCCCATACATCTACTCAAAAGTTAGAGTTTTGCCTGCTTTTAGACCTCCGACACCCTGCACTTAACTGTGTTGCAGTGGCTGCATCTGCCAGTTTTGCCTGGCAATGTTAACCTGGAATACAATCCAAAGGAACTGTGCAGCCCAGTGTTTCTCAGAGTGCCCTCGCTAGACAAGAAGAGGAATCACTGAGTTTGGTTCCCTTCATTTTCTCACCTATATCTCCAAACCAGGAAAATCTCAGTGTCCCAAGAGTAAAGGTAGTTTCTTTGCTGTTCTTTTGGTTTGGCTTTATTCTTTGTAACTGCACATCTTAAACACTTCAGTTTCTCTCCAGACATATCTCCCTCAATGGCCTCTGTAGTCCTAGAATCTGGGATGGGTGCCAAGTTGCCAGCCTTGCTGGGTAAACAGAGCCACGAGGTGGGGAGGCTCTCGGGAAGGTTTAACTCCTGTCTCCTGAATAATTTGGCCACATTTAGTCTGGTGCAGCAGTAATGTCCATGTTCCTCTGCTGTGGAAGGCAGCGACTGTGTTCAGTGTAAGAGAGTGCTACTGTTTGATGCAGTCACTGTGAAACGCAGTGCAGTTGTGTCAAGCTGTCCTGTACATATGAGTTGACTACAAAATCTTTAAGGCATGATTTTTTGATAATATTAGAACCTCAGTATACCATTTTTCTATTTTGCAGGTTTCTTTGTCTGATTGATTATTATGAATCACAAATTAATCAAATGAAGAAGGAGCTAAGGTATGAGAAATCTTTAATACTAATCTCCAGTAATGCCTCATGTCTTGCTGTTCAGAGTTTGGTGATGTGCTCCTGTTCAAATAAGCAGGAACACTGCCATGGATCTCCTGCTGGAAAAATGGGAGTAGTGATTATGGGAACTGTGATTATTCTTGTATAAAACATGTAATGGTAAACGTGGTGTATTCTGTGTTCCAGATGTCACTAACCTGTAAGAAACAGCAATGAACTGCATTGGTCTTGGAAGTTTGGATTCGCCCTGGGAATAGCGCTTTTGCAGTGCTTCACAGGCAGTTGTTACATTGGTAATGCTCAGGTGATGATCTCCCAAGACTAAGGAAATACTGGATTTGAGCTCTGTCATGGTGCCTACATGGTACAAAGCAACTCAGCAGATGCCTGAGAGTCATTCCCAGAATTTGAGATAATTGAAGTGGAACTTGCTTGTACTGGAGTTTCTTTGGGGGAATAAGTATACTCAATTAGTATATGAAGCAGTGTCCCAGGTAATTGAGAGGAGCAGTGGCAATTAGGGCAGAATTATTATTCTGTGTATTTTGCAATTTATAGACATGTCATTATGATACAAACTGCTAACTAGAACAACTTAGTTCTTTGTGGTAATTGAATTTCAGTAAGGTGCAACAATTTGTTTTTCCCAATAGGCTATTCAAAAAAGATGAAGATCATGTACAGAGAGAAGAAAAAAAGGAAGAATTCTTAAATTTAGATGCTTCACCCAATTATAGAGCACTACTTACGGTATGGTAATGTTAAGAATAAATCACTGCAGAGCTCTAAATGGCAATCCTTGAAAAGCCACACAGAAATACATGTTTTGTTTTGCTTTTCATGTCCTTGTTCTCATCTTGTCTTCTTAGTTTGTAATCTTTTCTGAAAAAAAAAATGCAGATTCAGTTCTGTATTGAGAAGTTTCTTTGCTGAGGACCGAACAGGCCTCTCCCATCACAGGTGTGTGAACGTGTCATCTGTGATCTAGTGCAGCATGTTCTTGATAGTTACTCATCTTTGCTAAATGGATCTAGAAAGCAGGCGGGAATCTCTCTCGACACACACACTTCCTAGTGTTCCCAGTTTGTTGGTTATGGAATGCGTGAAGTACAAGAAATAATGCCCTCTATGTTGCAGTCTTTCCAGAATCAACTTATTGAAACAAAAGCCAGGAATGAGCAGCTTTTGCTTGAAAATACAAATCTCAAGAAAGATTTGGAACTAAGGTGAGACAGGATAAATGTCACGCTTTGTAAAGGTACTTCAGCAGACATTGCTTTCAAAGAAAGAAACCCAAGGCACCAGCAGTTGTAAAAGTGTAGTACATAACCTGCCTTTAATTAATAGGATACAGCAGGAACAATCAACTTTCACTCCCTACACTGCTAGTGATGACTGTAAAGTGGTTATTTTGTTGTGGAGTGTCTGACAATTGTATTATATATTTGCACTTTATTTACCAAAAGCAGTACAAGTACATGTGGGTTGAGCCTGAGTCCTTGGTGAGCTGACTGCCCCAGTGTGCTTACAAAAACTCACCCTTTGTGCTAGTGGCATTACTGCTAAGCGTGATTTCCACCCCAAAACTGCTGGGCCGGGTAAAGCTGCAGAGCTTTTTAGTAAGAAAACAATCGGATCCACTTTTTTTTTGGGGGCGGGGGGGGGATGGCATTATAAAGTGTCATACAGAAATGTTGCAGAGCTTCCTCTCCAGAATGAGGATGCAGCATGGGCAGAGCTCTCTACTGCTCCTCTTGAATAAGATGTATTGCTGACTGCAAATGCCAGGCATATAATGTGGTTCTTTCTCTTTCCAACAGACCAACTGCACAGGAACTCAAACTTTACAAGCACCAAGTGAAGAAACTAGAAAAAACTTTAAAGAAAACTATCCAGTAACTATATTTCTTCAGTAATTTTCATGAATTCTCTGAACTTTTAAAAGCAAAGATACTCTGCAACCTGTAATGTGGGTAGTGGCCTATGCAGTATTTACTTTAGAGTGGGCTTGTAGACAGACAGCAAATTGTACTGTTGCTCCAAAGATTCCCCGTGAATCTGAAGTGGGACGTGGTGCCCAGATAGGGGGGAGGACCCAGCAGCTTGTCTGTTTTATTGATTTTTGTCTTTTGGGGTTTGAATGCTGTCATAGGCCATGGGGATGGGACCAAAGTACGATATTTGCAACTTCACAAGCTAAAAATAAGTTATCGGTTGCATTGTGGATTGTGAAGGATAGTTATTTGTCTTAGTCATTTATTCTGCACTATTAGAATTGCCAAAAAGTTTCAGCTACTGCTGATCTAAGAAGCTTTGCTTGATGAGTGTTTTTTTTTTTTTCCTGAAACACTGCTAAGTGCATTAATGCATTAATAGTAGAGCTCCAATATTATTAGAAGGTCTCTTTATCTCTAATTTGACTTTAATCATGTGTGCATGTGTATACTGGATACTAAATATTTTGTAGCATAGTACATTTCCTGAAAAAGACATTACTTGAACTTTAAAAATGCTTGCTTTTTTTTTTTTTTCATTTTACACTGAGTATATTTGAATGGTCTCTCATCTCATTCAGTAAATATGACTCAGATGGTTGTTTTTAGACCAACAGTTGTCTCAAATATGACAAGAAGGGTAATGAGCTCTATATGCTAAGTTGGCCAGGCAGCAGTAGGTGAAGAATGTGAGCCCACAGAGTGCTATAAAAACAGCCAAATGGCTGTGTGGTTGACAGCAGGAAATCTGATTCCTTTCAAGTCAAATTCTGGATTTCAACTCCTTTACTATCATAGAACTTCCAGTACCTGTACAGCTGGTACAGCTTCTAAATTAACAGGCAGTCTGGATTAACATCAGCCTGGTAAGTTGAGATACATTTATGCTATTTACATTAAGTATAGCATTTTTCAAACGGTTTAATTTGATGAAATTTTATTGTCAGGCTTCACAAAACAGAGATTTTTAACTTTGTAGGCGCAAGTGTATACGTTACACCCGTACCCCTCAATCAAGTTCTCACATCCGTAGTTCCCGAATGGAGCGGAAAGCGGCATCTCCTGGTGCGGGTGCTTGCAGGGCTGACCGGCTGTGTTTCGCACGCAGGTGTTCGGGGAGCAGCGCTGCAGAAAGGCTACACGGCAGCGACGCCGCCGCGCGCCCGGCGGGGCTGCAGCACTTGCAGGTGGGCAGGTCGCAGCCGCGTTGCCGGCACCTGCAAAATGTAGCTTTTTATGGTTATGGTTTCAAGAATGCCTGAGGAGATAGTGGGGTTTATTTTTCTTTGAATAAGGAAAGCAAATGTAATGAAGATGAGCAATATGTAAGCTGTGTAAGTAACAATGTCATGAGGGGGTGAATGTTAAATATCCCTGAAGGGGAAGTGTATTTGCATTACTTTAATATTTCTTCTAGCTAGTATGTTTTTAAGTCTTTGACCATATTACACATTGAGTGCATTTTAAAAATTCAGCTATAATAACATGCTGAAGTTGTTAATGATGTTTAGACTAAATTATGACTGTGGTGGTATGTGGTTCTGTTATAAGATGCTGTAGATTTCCGAGCAGTAACAGCATTTATTTGGTATTGTAGGTTTTGTCCAGTATTGATGCTGTTATAAGAAGTCCAAGAGCTCCTCCACTAATATACAGGCACAGTAAAGGGCCAGTCCAAAATGGTGTTAAAGAAAATGGACAGGAATGTGGATTTGAGCACCTTCTTCCCACTATAGAAATGTGGGCAGATCAGCTAATGGCTGTAAAGGTAACACACAGACTTTGCTTGTGCATGTGTGTATGTAGCTCCTGTTTTCTGACTTGGTGGTGTTAAATTTTAAAAACAATCTGTTCTCTATTTGTGCACCACTTTAAAACATAGTAAGTAAAAAATGCGCAGTGTGTACAGGCCCAATACATTCTTTGCTGTGTTTATTGTCTGTTTTTGTTCACTGTCTGAGTCCCTAGGAACACATGCAAGCTTGGAGCCTGTTACTTTTCACATTATTGATGATGTGTTCTCTCTCTCTTTTGTCTTGCTTGAAGAATAACTTTTTGATTTAAATACAAGTCTCTGTGACTTAGTGGTCAGTATTTACAGAAGCAATACTGGTCTAATATTTACAGAAGCAATAAAATACAAAGTACTTTTGTTTTCAGAACATCAATGCTCTTGTTAAAAAAAAAAATGAACGTAGGCAAGGTTTTCTGTATAAATTCATTTACTGTCTGCAATACTGTCTGTATTGTTTTTGCATATGAGAAGTAGAAGATCTGCTTGATTCTATAGTAAAAAACAACTTTAAGCTGTTACTTTAATAACAGTCATGTCCCCTCCCTTTAAAAGGATTTGCATCGGTCCTTGAGAAAACTGTCTCTGGAAGTGGTGCCCTGGCACACTACAAATGCCCAGGATAACAGGGAGGCTGTACGAGTTGAAGACCTGCAGTTCATAGTAGATGCAATGTTAGAAGAAATGGAAAATAAGGAGAAGGTAATTCCTACCAGGGATCTATAACTGAAAGTTACTTGGGAATTCTTAAATGGTTTCTTCGCATGCTGCTTAGATAAGTGCATTTGAACGTCCTGTGGGGTTGCAGAAATAGCTGCTTGAATGTATTCAATAGTCAGGCTGTTTTAATGCGAAGCATAAATGAATCGTGGTGAGGACAGTGCTTTAATCAGTCATGTGAAGAGCAATGAATCTGCATTGCCCTGCGGTCTCCCAGGGACTGTCCTGTTCAGTCTGTTTCTCGGTGAGCACTGAGAATGCATAAACATGCTCACCAAGCAACAGAAATGGAAGCTTTCAAAAGAACATTTTTTGGTTTGCTGGGAATCTGTGTCTGAAAACCCTCTTTAAAATGTGTCCTAGGATATTACAATATTTGAAATGCCTCTATTTAATAAGGGAGGTTACACCCGTTTTTCTTCATGAACTAGTTTCAAGAATGTCTCGTGGTTTAAAAGAAGCAGTAACTTTGACCAACGATTCCTGCTTGTTCCAGAGCAGCCAGAGCCCGTCCTTGCAAACGCTGCTGGCGATCGTCTCCCACTTCCAGAAGTTGTTTGATGTGACCTCCCTGCACGGCGTTTACCCACGAATGAACGAGGTCTACACGAAGCTGGGGGAAATGACCAACGCTATGAGGAACCTCCATGAGCTCCTGGAACTAGGTAAGGATTTACTCTTAGCGTGCGTTCAGACTCCTGCAGGAGTGAGAAGCTAAGTGACAGCCTCATCTCTATACAGAAAATACATGGAGCTGCTTAGAAATCAATCAAGTGGGTATGTTCTTGACTGTTCATAGCAAAAGTATCTTGGTGTCAATTGGGAGTGTAAATAGGAAAAACTTTTTATTTGTAAGCTGTTCGTTGTATTAGCAGTTGCATGCCCCGTTCTCGGAAGCCTCTTATTCTGCTAAACCCATTGAAAAAAGAAGCTGAAGCTGAGAGCTAAGTACTCAGACCTGCATAGTTATGTCGAGGTACCCGTTCTCTTGCAGTTTTGTTGCAGAGCAGTTGCCCTTAGTCTTCCCTGAACTCCTGCTTTTAAAGCCTTGGCAGCTCCATGGGTTTGGAGTCCGAGGGCAAGGCTGCTGGAATGGCAAGGGCTCCTCTTGAGCCCCGCTCCAAGCAGGAGGACGGGAGGAAGCCCATGGCCAGGGAGCTCCGTGTCCACATGGCTTCAGACTAGGCCCTCTGCAACTGCTGCAGCGAGGAGAGGCCGGGGGGCGTCTGGGGCATTGATCAGAGCAGCCAGGGCAGGTAAAACCCAACATTGCACCAGAGTTCTGGCTAACAAGCAATTACTTACGGAGCAGGTTCCTTGTTGGCCTGTACCATATACCTACTTACGCCGTGTTACAGGAACCTGGTAGAGGTCTAGTTGGCTTTCTTCCCGCTGACAGGCTGGCATGCCCTTCAGAACCAGCCCTGGTGTGAAAACTGGCACCTCTGCCAAGGGCTCCAGTTGCTGAAGGACGCGTGAGCAATCCACCACCTCTGGTACCATAGGTTTATTTCTGAGCACAAGTGCTTCATTTTCTGTGAAGAAAGGAACTTGTGCACCCAGAGATGTGAAAGCCAAAAGAAACCAAGATACCAGCAAGAAGTGAGTTAGGGCTCAAGTACTTTCCTGTTATTAGTCATGAAGTGTTTGTTTCTTTTCACAGACACCTCTGCTCCACCCACGGTGGTAGTGGATACTGTTGGGAAACTGTGTGACATAATCAATGAAAATGTGACCGAGCGAGTGCAGCAGCTCTTGGGGACCCAAGACATCCACAGGTATTTGGGGCTGCTGCACGGGTGAGAACTCTCTAAACCTCAAGTTTAGCAATTGGAAGAACCGGCTCACGCAAATACCGAAGGTGGCTTTAATCACCTGCAACAAAGTTAGAAAGCTGAGACAGGAAAGGAGCTGTTATTAGAGGAAACAAATCCTTGAATACTTCCAATTGGATAAAGCTGCTAAGGAGAAAAATAAAGGCCAAAAGCCTCCAAAGCACCTTTTTGGCTTTCCTGGATAGTGTGATAAAATAAGTCTTTTAAAGATGTCCTTCATAAGGAGACACAGTAAATGCTGCATGTGCATGGGCACGAGCAAGTGTTGCAGGATTTCAACTGCAATATTAAAAGTCTGTTAGTTGTGGTGACTTCCTACAAATATTTTATGAACTGGACAAATCCCATCTTCTTCTTCAATGGATGAAAAGATACAGACTCTAAGAGCTTAGGTTCAGAATTTGCCCTGCAGGAGTACAAAAGATGGGTTGTGGGCAATAGCCCACGCTAGGCCTGTTTCCCCCACTATTTCTCTTCTCTCCTTCGCAGTTTGAACTAGAGAAAGTTGCTTGTAAAAGATTCTTTGTGCTCTGCCTCTGACGCAGCTGCATCAGCCGCCCCCACGCAGCGGGTCAGCCCTCACGGAGGTCTAGCCCCAGAGGCCCAGGGCACGAGCTGAGGTGGAGAGGGAGGGTGAACACACAGCAGAAACAGTGACGTTTCCGAGTGGAACATTACCAGCAGCTAATCTGTGGACAATTAACAGCTGTTAGCTGCAGGTTTCACACCTCAAGAATGTATGTTTGGCATAGCTGGACTTGCACCCTATTTTGTAGCGTGGTTTTCAGGAACTTAATGGCAGAGTATGGCATGAGAGTCAAGGAGACAACCTGTGTTTGCAGCTCTGGTCTGATGGTGTCACTTGCACATTTCAGTATAATCAATAAGCTGGAAGAACACGAGTGCTTCTTTCCGCCCTTTCAAGCTCTCATTCAGGAGCTGCTCTGCCTTCTAGGTAAGTCACCTTTGCAGCAACAACCTGTTACCTTCATACTACACTTTCCCCCTGTTCCTCAACTTTTAAATAGTTAATAAGCACTTATTCTACTCCTGCTGTGAAAATCTAGGAAGGTGTGAGGAAAAGATGCTACAACTTTTACTCTCACTTTTCTATCTTTTCACAGCACGTGAGCAAAATACAAGTTAAGTTCTCTTTGAAAATGGGACTGCATGTGTTCAATCCTGTTATCCATTAGATAAGATAGAAACATCTGCACTGAAAGCACTAATATGTTTGAGATTTTTCTCAGTGGTACTTGCTTACCGGTTTTATTTCTGAACATTGAAGCTAGACTATTGGTGGACATTCTATATCTACCTGCTTTACTACTTTGCTTTTTGTTTTGTTTCAGAAATCAGTAACCTGGATGATATTTTACCTACCGTGAAAAACTTGAAATTGGCAGCGAGTTAAGTGTGTGTCTTGTCTGCCCTACCACAAGGTCTCTTTCTCATGAACGTATCACGTAAATGACACACAGCTACCTCTAGCCTTTGTGGCCCTAAGGGACAGTTCCAGAATATTTCAGAATATTCAGAATAAATAAAGGCTTAACTTCATCCCTCCATTTTTTTTTTCTATAAATAATTGTTTGATGGTCAGTGCAAGTCCAGCAAAGGCTTCTTATAGCCGCAGGTACCTGGTCTAGTAAGTTACAGAGATAGAGAACTGCTAGACCCTGCTCTCAGGCTAGGAAAACAAACCCCTGCCACGTCAGAAAATAGATAAAACCCCCGTGTGTAGCGAGGGGGGTACAGAGTAAGCAGCACAACCACAGTGCTCTAACTGCCTCTTTCAAAATGCCCTACACATCTTCCCATAAGTTTGAGATTGGAGTTAATGACACTCTCCTCTCCTCTGCTATTTACCTGACTCCATGCTCTCCAATTTGGACTGAACATTGTTGATCAGTGAGTATTCTCTCTGATGTTGGGTTGACAGACTACCTTCGTGTAAGCTCCTCTGAAAATACTTGAGGGTTCCTTCAGAAGGCAGTTTGTGGCTTTCTCCATGGAATGGATTCAGGTTTCATGGTCTCCTTCTAAAAGTCAGTCTTAGAAAGGCATAGATCAAGTTTCTAAAGCAAGACATTTAGAAGTTTATTGTACAGAACAGGTAGGTACACTGAATTTCTGAAAATACTTCCCTGTATTTCACTCTTAGGTTATTAAGCTTAGTTTACAAAACTGTGCTGCTCCTCAGGCAGAATGCTTTACTATCACTTACAAAATGGTTTGTAACAAAGAACAAAACTTGTTAAGGCATCACAAACTAAACCTTAATGGTATCTTGGTAAAGTAAACCTGCTTTGTGGAACCTCATTAGATACATACCAGCAGCAACAGTCTAGGATACTTGAAGTGGACTATTCATTTCTTACTTTCTCAAAGCCAACTGCCATTAAACACTTTGAATGACATTTCTGAAGCCCCATCGGTGAAGGATGTTGTTTAAAAAACTTATTTCACAGGTACAGTGCTTCCAACAACATAAAATCTTGGGATAGTAGAACTGCCCAAGCAGAGCAATGATGTGTAGCTGACTGCAGCTAGAATAAGCGAGTCTTGCACCTGAAGTTAAGAGTTTCATCCTTAAGGGTTCCTTAGGGAAAGTATGCCAGAACATAAGTGTCTCTTGCTAGTTAAACTTATTTACTTAAATCAGTACTAATTGCTTAGTAGTGTCTTTTAAATATACATGTCCTGAATAGGAAAGTGCTCCAAATTTGCAGTGACTGCTCAAAACACATTAATTACAAAAGATATGTACATTTGTATAAACTTTACAAATTAGTAACTTATGCATATGAGAAGAAATCAGCTTTTCGTGCGTCTGCTTCTTGTCAGCTCATACCTGCAAGACAAATACAGCAAGCAGTTAAAACAGTCACAGCCTTTTAATAGTTTTGAGGAGAGGGAGCCGCTTCAGTGCTCGTGGAGGCAGTGGGACAAGGAGAGCCCCGTGACGGCCTCACACCTCAGCTCTGCGCCGGGACCTCAGCACGAGTCATTTTGGTACTGCCCAGACCTGCTGGGTGCTGCACGAGGCCCAGGCCTGAGCCAGGCCCCAGGGAATTCCCCAGGGAATTCCTTTTCCCAGCTTGCTGAGCAGCAGCATCTCATCCTCATGGATGGCAGCTGCTCCCCTACCGCCCCAGCTCCTGCAGCTCTGTCTTGGAAGCAGAAGGAAGAGCTACAGCTGGCAACAACAGCCTTAGCGGGGGAAAAGAACAGGTTCCTCCTTTTAACCTCAGACCAATGCTTAAGGTTTTTAAGCCTGAACCACAAAGAACACAAAACCGTGAAGGGCTTATCACAGCAGCCTTTCAAAATGCTCTGTAATTATAGTTTTATCCTATTTATATGCATTGCTGAACAGAGTATTAGTTAGGATCTCTCTCCACCTTACAATTTGTTCCAGGTATACTTTAATAAACATAATCCTTTTACATTTATTTCCCAGTGGCTTTTATTGTAACTTAAAATATGCTAAAGACTGAGAAGAATTTGTCATGTAGGCTCTTATTAAGAGACAGACACTTTCAGAGGGCAGATATTGCACTAATAACTGGATTAACATAAAAATTTGATAAAACTACCAGATTAGTTCAGGTCAGTCCAGTGTTGGCCTACAAAATATTCTCCTTGCTCTCCAAATTACACAACCCATTTACCATCCCTCCAGCACGCATTCAGAAGAAAGCAATTAGCAGGGTTTGAAAGGATGACGATGAAACAAACTTACCATTGGGCAAAACCTTTGATTAAGTCTTCCTGGGACAGGTCAATCCGCACCTTTAAAAAGCACATTTTATTTTATTATTCAGCATACACGTTTATTGGCAAAGTTAGTGTCCGCCCAGTCAGCTGGGCTTTAGTTCTAGGGGTCCACGGAGAGGAGCTTTGCACATTTCCAAAACATGGGCATGAGGCAGCCCTGGCACTGAAGCTCAGTTTCTTAAGAGCACTACTTGGAATTTTTCCATCATGAGAAATGTAGAAGAAATGGGGGAAAAAACAGCACATAAAAGTTCACAAAAACCATGAGCATTGCTGGACAACTGTAGCTTTTAATCAGAGGTTATTCTTGGCTTCATGTTTGCACTAATTGAGGGATTGCCCCAGAGGGGCAGTGGAGCATCCCAAGAGGCACATTTTTATTTCAGGAATACCCCTTTCCAATGAAATAGGGTGCCTTATCCATCACGTGAGACCATCCAAACTTCTGCAGGGTTGTGGTTTGATAAAGGATGAAAAGTTGGCAGAAAAGAAAGTTGCTTTCAGATTGCTAGTGCTACTATTCAGTATTAGTTACTAAATTGCAGTTTGAGATTGGGAGAGTCTCCCCGCAGGTTCAGCTGCATTGGCAGCAGTGTAACTGGTTTCAACTTACCCTTCCCAGTTCCTTCTTTTCCAATGAAATGAACGGCCTGCTGTTCTTCACTGCGATGTCAAGGCTCCTTTTCTTAACTTCTTCCAAAGATTCAAAAAATTCAAATCTAAAAGTAAAGTTTTGAGAGGAGAGACTTAAGGCAAAACTCTAAATTGAGTTAAAACCCTTTACTCATTGGTGGCCAGAACGCAGTAATTTTAGCCGAGAAGGACCACAGCTCCATGGAGTGACCTTTACAGCACAGACGAACCACAGCCGGAGTTCCAAGAGGCTTTTCTGTTTGCAAACCCCGAGAACACTGTTGCCCAACCACAGCATGTTTTAATAGGATAAGAAACTGGTTCAGAAGACTGACTTTAATCCACATGTGAACAAAGCCTATTCTCCACAGAGCAGAAAAGCCAATTTAATAGTTAGATTTTATTAGCATTCTATGCAAGCTCTTCCAGGCTTCATGAAAGAGCATGACATTCTGTGTACGACCAGACTCCACGCCGTGCCAGGGGCTGAAGGAAATCACACATCCAGATGAGATGCTATTTACCAACAATTTTCCCCTGCATGGAAGATCAGCATGTTTTCCATTCAACATCTATTACTCAGAGGAAATAGCAGAGCCAAAGCCCCGGGTTTACAGAGCAGGCTCATACCACATTAAAGGCCAACAAGGGAAGCAACTTGTGGCAATTACATTCTTAATGAGTCTGACTCAGGCCTGGCACGCATCATTAATACGAAGCCAGTTTTGTCCATGCTAAATCCTTGTGGTTCTGCCCACCTAAATAGTTTTCCTGCAAGTCAGAGCTGTAAGACAGGTAATGTGTTTGGCAGCCCAGTGTTGCTGCATGAGTTATGCTTAATTGGGAATGTACAAGATCTGCCAATACCAGGGGCGAGGGAACAGGGATCCTACTCCTAAGAAGTGCTGCATGGGCTGGCACTGCCTCACTGGAGTCCTTTATATTTTGGCCTCTGGCTTTGGGGAAGATGTGAGAATCTGCAATGGGCCAAAGCAGCAGCATGAGCAGAGAAGCAGGTTGAATTAAGTCCAGAATTGGAAAGATTAACTCTGCAGTGGCCCAGGTAAACACAGAAGGGGGACATGTGACACAAGCAGCACCCGGCAGCTCCTGGAGTCAGGGAAGAGGGTGAGGAGGGGTCTGCTCCCGCGCAGGGCGAGCGATCCTGTGCTCAGGGAGAAGCCAGCCCTGACTACTTGCAAATCACAGAGCAAGGGCTGCTTTTACAGAAAAGCGTTCCCATTGCACAATCCTCCAGCTGCATACCTCCTGGGAGTCACTGAACAGGCATTGCAACTACTTCGGCAGCAATTGTAATTAATAACGTCTTACTTTTCGTCATACTGGGGGTTCAGAGTCCTTTTCTTCACTGAGGTCTTCTTTCTGCTTGTCCATCTTCTATCTGGAAGCAGGTATATGCGAACATAGGGATCTACTCCGCGATTACAAGAGGGCACTAAGTTTCTGTTAAAAGAAGCACAGTGTTGACAAGCAGGACAACTTCTCTCGCCGTGTGACTCATGACAGGTTGTGACTTAGGATCAGACCCACCCTCCACGAGCAAAACGTGTCTATACCTCGGGAGCTGGAATGCAAACAAACACGAGGCCGTGAAGCTTCACAACACTTTCATTACTGAAAGCGTGGCCCTTGCAGGGCTACTTATATTAACATTCACAATTCAGCTGCAGGTGTCAGTCCTCGGCACGTACAGCTCCCTCGGACACCCCGAGCCTCCCATCAGCTGTCGCTGGTGCTGAGAGGCCCCCTGGGATGGGGAAGCCCCCGTACCTCCCTACCCCTGGTAGCAGCCAGGGCCTGGCGTCCCCCCCGTTACCTGCAGCCGTTGACCAGCACGACGAGGCTCTGCCGGGCGGCCGCGTAGCGCACCGTGAGCTGGATCTCCCCCACAGGCACCGCGCTCCCGCTGCAAGACAGGCACAGCTCCTCAGCAGGGCTGCTTAAGGAAGCAGGCACAGCAGAGCCCAGAACAGGGCACGAGCTGCTGGGGATGCGTTAGCAAAACGGCTTTCACAGCACAATTACTTGTTCTGGCACCTTAAAGCTTGCTTTTTAGACAGTGGCTGGACCATAAAGCTGGCACAGAAACATAATTCCTGCCCACGCCAGCAGGGCGGTCCAGGTGCAGCTCTCAGGCTCCCGTTACAAGCTGAGTTGCAGATGCTACACAGCTCCTCTAAGGGTGCCTCTGTTTGCAAATCATGACCCTCTCAGTACCTCGCTCAGCCTGTTACTAAAGTGCTTCTGAGCAGTGCCTAACAACATTATGAATGAGCCCCTCTTCACAGCTACAGAATTGGCCAGCCCTGAAGTACTAAACTGAACGGATGGAGCTGGGTTCAATACTTGGGTTGATGCCTAGTTTGACGCTGACTTAATTGTGACAAACCTGTTTTTACTACTCTGTTCGTCAAGGGTTCAACTATCTCAGTTCTGCGCACCCGGAAACCAGGTGAGGGATTCCCTCCTCCTGGATGGAAGAGGCTTTCTCTGCATCTGCACATTTAGCACTGTCCAGGGACACAATGCACCTATCTGGAAAACTCTGTTCACTGCATGACAAGAGTCTCAAAACTTACTGGGTAAAATACAATGTCCAAAATTTAAAGCAATGAGGAATGTTTATCCTGAGTTTAGGTTTTTACGTGATTTCAGACTTCCATTCACCAGTTTAAAGTGAAGTTGGGTGCTAAAGCCATGAGTGTTATGGGACCTTTTCTGCATGAAAGCCCGTAAGATAACACAAACTTAATGCAACTGAGACCTCAGACTCCAAGGGACTTAGCAGTCTGGAATCTACCCGAATGCAACAGCCTCCCATAAACCCCAGCCCTTCAGGAGAAGAACGGGTCAGCTGGGAGAACCACCTACTTATGAATGTCCAGGCTGCTGCTGCTCAGGTCAAAGCAGGAAGAGGGCAGGGAAGCCAGCGAGGCGACGCTGGGCGCGAGCCTGATCTCCTGGACAAGGGCCCGCGTGGGCACGGCCGCCCCCTTGCTCTGCAGCACGGCCGACAGCCGCGGCTCCGCGTCCTCCTCGCTGCCCGGCTCCGTGGCAGCCT